GTTGGCCCAGCATGCATTCTCCAAGGCCGCAAAATGGCACTCATGTGCCTCATTCTGCAACTGAAATCCCTGGACCACCTGCTGCAGCGAAGTGATTTGGTCCGAGCAGACACTGGATGCAGACTCTAAAGCTCCCATTCTACCTGTCAGGCCGTAGATGTCAGTGCGGAGCGTGGCGACATCTGACTGGATGGTCTTCTGGAGGTCTGTGAGGAGCGATTTCAGGATTGCGGTCGTCACCAGTGAGTTGTCTGCTTTCTGTGTGACCAGTGCCGGTCTCTGCACCAAAGGTAAGTCGGCCGCCTCTTCCCCCGAGGAGAAATTGTCCGATAGCTCGGAGTGGGTTTCAGGGTAGGCAGCCATCTTAGACCCAGTGGCTTTGCGTGTTTGTTGCAGGAGCTCGGCAATGTTTGTCCTTTGCCGCGGTTTATCTGGTTTTAGTTTCTTAGTCTTGCAACCAGTGCCGGTGCTAGGATTTTAAGTTACACAGGCGAACATGCATTTTGGTGCCCCTCAACCTCCTTTAAAAAAAAAAAATGCATCTTCACCTGTGTGTATTTCCTCCCAAGCCACAGGCATAATTTTTCAGTCACACAATCATACAAACACAGAAATAATCATACAGAGACATTTAGACACATACAGTCAGTCAGAGACATACAGACATACAGGCAAAGACATACATGCATACAGAGACATGAAGGCAAATAAAAACATGCATACATACAGAGGCATACCGTCATACAGACACATACATACATACAGAAACATACATACAAAGACATCCAGGCACATACATACATACAGGCATACAGAAACATACAGGCATGCAGACACATACATACATACAGGCATACAAAGACATGCATGCATACAGAGACATACTGCCATACAGACACATACATATATACAGGCATACAGAGACATACATATATACAGGCATACAGAGATACAGGCATACAGAAATACATACAAAGACATACAGGCATACATACAGAGACATACAGGCATACAGAAACATACATACAAGACATACAGGCATACAGACACATACAAACATTCATACATAGAGAGGCAAACCGTCATACAGACATACATACATAAACATACAAAGACATACAGGCATACAGAGACACACAGACACATACGTACATACAGAGACATAAAGGCATACAGTTACACACATGCATACAGAGACATATATACAGACATTCAGAGACAAACAAACATTTAGTTACATACATGCATGCATACAGATACATGCATGCATACAGATACATACATGCATACAGAGACATACATACATAGAGATAGATACATACATAGAGATAGATACATACAGAGACATACATACACAGACATACATACACAGACATACACACATACAGAGACATACATACAGAGACAGACATACATACATACAGATACATACATGCATGCATACAGAGACATACATGCATGCATACAGATAGATACATACATAGAGATAGACACATACATACATACATACACAGACATACATACACAGACATACATACACAGACATACATACACAGACATACATACATACAGATACATACATACATACAGATACATACATGCATACAGAGACATACATACATAGAGATAGATACATACATACAGAGACATACATACAGAGACATACATACACAGACATACATACACAGACATACACACATACAGAGACAGACATACATACATACAGAGACAGACATACATACAGATACATACATGCATGCATACAGAGACATACATGCATGCATACAGATAGATACATACATAGAGATAGATACATACATACATACAGAGACATACATACACAGACATACAGAGACAGACATACATACATACAGATACATGCATGCATACAGATAGATACATACATACATACAGAGACATACATACATACAGAGACATACAGAGACAAACATACATACAAACAGAGACATACTGACATACATACAGAGACATACATACATACATACAGAGACATACATACATACATACAGAGACATACATACATACATACTGAGACATACATAGACATACATTCAGACAGAGACATACATACATACATACATACATACAGAGACATACAGAGACATACATAGAGACATACAGACAAACATTCATACAGACATACATACAGAGACATACAGACAGAGACATACATACATACAGAGACATACAGACATAAATACAGAGACATACATAGAGACAGACATACAGACAGACATACAGACAGACATACAGACAGACAGACATACAGACAGAGACATACATACAGACATACAGACAGAGACATACATACAGAGACATACATACAGAGACATACATACAGAGACATACATACAGACATACATACAGAGACATACATACAGAGACATACACAGACATGCATACATACAGAGACATACAGACATACATACAGAGACATACATACAGAGACATACATACAGAGACATACATACAGAGACATACATACAGACATACATACAGAGACATACATACAGAGACAGACATACAGAGACAGACATACAGAGACAGACATACAGAGACAGACATACAGAGACAGACATAGAGACATACATAGAGACATACAGACACACATTCATACAGACACACATTCATACAGACACACATTCATACAGACATACATACAGAGACATACATACAGACAGAGACATACAGACATAAATACAGAGACATACATAGAGACAGACATACATAGAGACAGACATACATACAGAGACATACATACAGACATACATACAGACATACATACAGACATACATACATACAGACACATACATACAGAGACATACATACATACAGAGACATACATACATACAGAGACATACATACATACATCATACAGAGACATACATACTGAGACATACATACAGACAGAGACATACATACATACAGAGACATACAGACAGACATACATACAGACATACATAATTACATACTTACATCTGTTAAATCTTGTCCCCTGGGTGCATGCTGTCCGGCTCTGTGGAGTCCAGTCCTGCAACCCAGCCCCATCACAGGGCGCCAGCCGCGCTGTGTGGGACACAGGGAGCAGGGATATGATGTCATTCATATCCCCGCCCCCTCCACACAGCCTGCGGCAGACATCAGGATAGGAGGTGGGCGGGCCGAGGCTGAGCTCCGCGGGCGGGAATCTCTGGGCTGCGCTCGGCCACTCTACAAGTAGTAACCAGCTGGAGGGGAGCCAGGTGCGCTTCCCTCCTTCCTGTCTGCCTGATGTCGCGCCCCCAGGGCTGGTGCGCCCTAAGGCGGCCACCTGGGCCGCCTTATGGTAGCGCCGGCCCTGATTCCATCCCATACAAATGGGGCCCGCACCGAATGATGGAGGACAGAAACAAAATGACTCATCTTGCTGCATGTCTCGGAGTCAACAATCTTCCTCCAGTCCCTAGGTCTACCAACAGAGACCATTAGGATGGATGCACAACCGTCTTGGACGGTGGAGAGAATTACTCCCTTTGTGCCCAGAAGAGCAGCGCTGGGGAATACTGACTCTCCTATCTGATGCCTAGGGCAGCTGATATCATAGTCAAATATATCTTTGTTCAGTTCTTTATAGTTTGAGTTATGCATTAGGTTTACCATACACCCTGGCTCCGTAAGCTTTTGGTTTGCACATTAGTCTAGCTATTAACCTCTCCTCAATTCGCATTCAAATGTGTCAAGTTATCCCTTTAAGTGCACATTTCACTACATGCATTTTCAACTTAAAACAGAAGAGGGACAGTGTCACCTTAGCACACATCTGCCAGAGTGATTTGATCCTATCAGCTCTACACTTGTGAGTGAGATACAATAAAATTACTTTGTCACATTTTTTGATTTGGACTTTTTATGTACCATGTTGTGCTTTCTTTTACATTATAGCTCTCATTGTATATGGTATATGTATATGTGTTTTTTTATTTTATTTCTTTAGCGCTCCACTGCATGCACTGGTGGTAGTATAACCATTTAGTATGTGTGTGTGTGTGTGTGTGTGTATATATATATATACATATATATATATATATATATATATATATATTTTATTATTATTATTATTTTTTTACAAACAAGACAAAAAATAGACAATATTTGCATTAAGATTTCCTCGTAGGGTAGGAGTATTAAAATAGTGCGCATATATAAAGTAAAAATGACAAACAAATAGTACAGCTGTTGGCAAATGACTATTACCGTTGATCATATCTTTGTTAGTACTCCAGCCGTACTCAAAAAAAAAAAAATACACACATTTAAAATAAATAAGCTGTTTTAGATGTTTTGGCATGGAGACCGTCTCTAAGTAGCATACAGATCGGGGGATTTTAATTCGGGGCATTGTAAAAATTTTCCCTTTTCTTCTTTTCTCTCCTTTTCCCTTTTTTTTCTTTTTTTTTTTTTAACCAGTTTCCTGACTTCTGATATCTTTAAATCTTGAAATATTACCCTGGTTTTGTTTATTTAGCCATTGATGCCAAATTCTGTTAAATAGGAATTGTTTCTGTCTAGCTAAATAATACCCCTTTTCAATTAAGCCTTGATGAGAGATCTGACTTATAACCCTAGACCCTTGTATTACATCTTGACTTTTCCACTGCCTTTCTATTACAATCTTCGTTGCTAGTAATATTTGTACTGTCAAGGGTTTGTTAGAAAAATCAAGATTGTCCAAACCTAAATGGAATAGGGCGGTTTCTGGTGAAATTTGAATTGTTGTTTCCTTCAGTTCTGAAATTAAAACAAATATTTTCCGCCAAGTACTGTTAATGTTATTACAAGACTACCACATATGAATTAGATTCCCTGGTTTATTATTACATTTTCAGCATATTGAATTTGCAGTAGCGTTAAATTTCTGTACTTTCACTGGATATAAGTGCCACCTATATATAATTTTAAAATGTAGTTCCTGTATTGAAAGACCGTGAGTAATCTTTCCTATTTGAATCCAACTATCCCACCATTGTTTCTTATTGTAGGTATACTAAATTCTAACAAATCGTACCAAGCTCTTATTATTTTTTTTATTGATTTGTTGCTTATTAATTTATCGAATTGATCTTTTATTTATTTTTCCAGGTTTCTGATCAAATTGAAACTGAAATAATATTTGATTCTAATTATGGAAAAATTCTCATTCATAGTACTTCCATACTCTTGTTGAATTTGCCTGAAAGACTTGAGATTATTTTTAAGATATAGATCTTGAATTCTTAGAT